CCTTGATACATTGTTTTTGAGGGCTACTCGCAAGGGTGAAGAGTGCTATTGGAGAAATTAAACTTTATTTTTACTAGACTAATTGAAAATGTCGTCTGTTATGTGATCCGAGAGAAAATATACAAATTAGGCTAAGCCTACTGAATGTAAAGTTAATTAAAGTAAATCCTATCTTCGAATTATATGTCAGGAATAACGTTTGCGAAGAAACCTTTGTATCTCCTCATTTTGAAGTACAGAATCTACATATTATTCAATATATTTTAGCGACACTTATAATTCAATATACTAGTGAACGAAATCTTCTAATAGCCAGAGCACTTGATATCGATAAATTTCATAAACAATATGAACTTTGCTGAGTTTTTTATTCTTTCAATACAGTTACCCGTCCAGACTATGATTAGTCTGTCACAATGTCAATATCATAAAGATATTGTAAAATATTTAAAAAAATGTAATCTTCAGTTTGTGTTTCTTTACACAACTGAGATTTGATTATTGATGAGATGATTTTGATTCTAACGTTGAAAAACAAGAAAAATTTCTAGAATATATGTTTTACAAAACTTGAATAAACTTCTAATGGTATTCTCATAAACTAATATAAGTCGATCAAACTGTTCAAGAGATATTTATGCTTTTTTTGCCGTAGAATTTTGCTTTACTCTCTGAATGAAAATATTCAACTTTTTTTTTTCGGAAACATTTATCAATCATACGGTGTACTAGCAATAATATTCATTTATATACACTGAAATTCGTGGATATTATCACTATCATTTGAATAATATTTATAACTCTTTATTACTCACCATCAGCACTTTCTTTCATATCCTTGGATGTATCTGCACTAGTCGAACATGCAGTTACTTTTTCTGTATGAACATTACCGGTTGCTTGGTTTTTATCCATAAATTATGTCGCTAAAATGTGTATTAATCTAGAAAAAAAAATACACGAATATTTTTTTAGTGTTTATAAACATATATTCAAGGATTATTGTTATATAGTAGACTAGTAATGTATTCATCTACGTATTTTAATAAAAATAAATTTTCATGTAACATAATTTATATATTAATTCACTGTTTCAAAGTGTCAAAAAAAATGATGATTTTACATTTTTTTCAACAGTAGGGTGCCTCAAATTGTATGATGTTCGAATGAATACCCTATATTCTTGTTGATGAGAGTATTGAGTTCGAATCTTGGGCCAAGAACAGACAGCTACTACTTCAATGACTACATCGTTGAATCATGTGTCATTAAAATAGAGGATAAAGAATATTTCAATTATTTTCAGTTCAAATGTTATAATTGTACGACGTATTCGTCATAGCAACGGATTGTAGTTCTTGATGTATTCATCCACTTTTTTTGTGTCTGATTAATAATCATGTAATCATTATATTTTTATTGCCATCTTCAGATGCTAGGTAACACATCGAAGTCATGGCGTTGCAATTGTAGTAAACAAGTGTTTTACATGGTATTCAGGAAACTGATACTGATACATTGAAAAAATATTGCGATCGAATTTTTTTTTCAATTAACGTCAGGGATAAATAAATAAAAATGTTTTTTTCTTTTACCAACTTGATGCATTCTATCATTTGAGTCTACTGGTGATTGTGCGACGAGAAAAAGCAGAATAAAAATGCAGAACGAAGAAAATACGATGTTTCACATACAGCATCGCGAGACAATATTTTTCATCAACAAACACAAATAGAATGTAAATGGCCTACAAAAAGGATGAAAAAAAAAGAACGAAGAAGAGAATACTAAATGTATGAAGAATCCCGCTGGGTCTATTGTAACATGCTGGTTTTAATATGATGAAAATATGATGGTATGAAAAAGCTTGTCAGAAGCGAGGATGCATGCCCGTTTGAGAGTAAAGGCATGATAAAAATTAATAAGAATCGATACAAGAAAAATATTAAGATTAAAAAAACAAAAAAATAATTAACCTATTCAATGAAAAGAAAGAACGAACAATGTATTTTTGAAACCAACCATTATTATTACCATCATTACAAAAAAAAAGAAAATTTCTATCTAAATAAGATTATATTTTCAACTGATGTAGTGTTTGTGATTGTAAACGACAATGAATAGGGATTACATTTACCTTCACTTATCATTCTGAACAGAATACCGAAGCGAATGATTACTATTAAAGCAGGATTTCAACGTTTTCTTTCTTTACATGCTATTCTAAGCTATTTATTTATTTGTCTACGAACTGGTGCACAAGCGTGAATCCTTAATTAGAAAAGTGTTTCTTATGTTGAGTGACATAAGTATGATGTAGGCAGTTAATATAAGTGAAAGAATTCTTTACTCTAATTTTTCATTCGTCCTCTCACTGCAGAGGAGTAGAGAAAAGTAATAATATAGTGGATGACTGACAACATCTAAATGAACAGGATCTATGGTGATATTATTTGGCTTCCGTTGTTGAAAACTCGAAGAAAGCTGCAACTTTCCGAAAGAAAGCATTAAGAAAATGGAGAAAAATATTCATGCAATGTTGGAGAATGTCCAAAAAGCACATTTTAAAGTGTACCACAATTTGTCAGGTACTAAAAGCTTTGGTGATACTTACGAAACATTTATTTCGAACGATTTGTGTTTCAGAGTTTTAAAAAGACTTCTCTCTGCAAGGATATTTTCTCAAAAAAGTAAGAGATATTTTCTAATGAACCAAATGATTTATTCAGGAAACTTTTAGCTATCAATGCATCATTCAATACATACGTCGACGCACACCAAAGAGAAGAAAAATAAAAGCAGCAGACGAAGATAGAATATGGGGCTATTGGGCACATCCTTGTTAATTCAGCACAGATTAATTTTAGAGCAGAACAAAGTATTGACGCTTTCAATAAATTATCACGGACCGAAAAGAACGAAGAAAAGATAAGAGAGAGAAAAAAAGCAAAAAAAACAGCGGCCTAGATGCGTGCGAAGTAGATGCACATACTAGGAAAGAACGTCGCAGATGTACACATACACAGATACATGCACAAAAGAAAGATAGAGAAATAAAGATAATCGTATATTAGAGTGTCTTCTAACACACAGTTTGCCATGGATGATTATTGGTAAAATCTAAGAATTTCTAAAGACTAATATAAAAATATAAAAATATTTCAACATCGAGAAATAGCATGAAATTGTTTAATAATATAGCAAATTTGAATAAAATCTGCAATAAGAAAATGTCTTGCATATTTATCTTATTTTCAACAACAGGAAGTTTTCATTTTCTCAGATAGTTTAATACCGATCATTATTAGCTTCGGTTTTTATATCATAGTTTTTTTTTCCATAAAGATGAAAATAGTTCTTGAATAAATCAGATGATCCAACGAAAGCATCATAAACTAGTCGACACTCATTATGAAAACATCAATCTAACATCAAAAATAAGGAGCATCATGAATCCGATGAATAATTCAACAATATGGATATACTGAATAGGTTTTGTCCGGAGAATTGTATTCAATTTGGTTATAATAGATTAGTTTTTTCAATGGATTAAGATAAATCATGAACAGTCGTGTTGACAGAGTGGTTTAAACAAATATTAATTAAATTTGAAGAGATCAGTTTGCAGACAAAGAAAGTCCGATGATTAATTAAGAGACTTTAGCATGAAAACAATTTGTAAGTTATTAATAAAGTCATTTTTAAGATAGTTTTTGTTATTGAAACTAAATTTGTGTATTATTTATTTAGATTGTGATTAAAATCTAGTGTGAAATGGTAGTTCCTTGATGTGCCTAGGAGAACGTCAAACAAAAATCAGTGTTGCTAACGATTCAATTGCTTTAACATATAGTTTAGAAATTTTTTGTTTCCTTTCTGAGTATCATCGAAATATTATAATTATACATAGGAAATGATGTACATTTTTGCATCGATTGTTCATTTTCTCTGTTTTATAGGCAATGGCTTTTTATTAATAATTGGTCATAATGATTGTATGAGAGCAGATTTTGAAAATTATATCAGTGAATGCAACACAAGTAACGATATAATGCTTTGTTAGTAATGCTGATCTAAGCACCGCGTTTTCTACTTTTTATTTACTAAAAGTGTTTAGCTGAGTTTGATTGATATTATGTTTTTCGAGTTTTTCAAGTCTTCAGATATCTTTATATGGTTTAGTATGTTTCTATGAGAGCTGAAAAATATTTTGAATTCATTTCAATTTTCGAAACTTTTTCGTAAGTTCTCTATCACACGGATTTTGTTTTCAGTGCAATTGACCAGAGAAAATGATGTAAGAAAACTTTTTTGTTACATTTTTGCATTCTCTCGTCCATCTAGCGTGCAACGTTCGTATCTACTACAACATAAAAGTTCCTTAGCTACAGACAATCGTGTAGATTGCTGAAGAAAAAAAAACAATGAAGTAGAATGAAGACTCGATTCCTTCAACTAATATTGAAAATCAAATTATCAAAGCGCTAACCATGGTTGTAGGTTTAAGTTTAGGTTTTTTTTCACCTACACTCACACTCGCAGTTGTAGAGTCCTGTAGGTTTGATTTAATCGCATTACCTGTGCTCTTAGACCAAGTCGCGAACATGATCGAGATAGATGCTTTACTGGTATTAGCAAAGATGTGTCTGACATCATTTAATTCATTAATGAGAATATCCAATCAGACAAGTGTTCAGTTTTAGGTGCTTTGACATGTGTAAATGTGCGACTTTTACAGTGAAAAAACAATAAAAATCGATTTTTATTTTCGTAAAAAGTAAGTTTGTCGACATCATTGTCATCAGATTCGCTTTCTTTTTCAAAAAAAAAAAAAACTTTCTCAAAACCCAAAAAGCGCACATTTTAACGTGTAAAAATGCGCTTTTTATCGATTTTCTCGCACTGGATTAATTAGTACATTTATTTACTGATAAAAAAAAATATTGTTCATGAAATGTTACTGTCATCAAAAGCAATCATTTTAGAAAATTATAATTCTCTTATCGCAGTTCACATCTTGTTGCATTTGGATATAACCATTCTGACAGGTTCGGGTGCTGGCCAAGATATTCGAGTCCATACGCAGCCGCCTGAATCAGCTTTTCATAACCAAATTGATGGATATTTGCTAAAGTATCACATGCCTGATGATAACAAGGATCAAGAATCGCTCCTGCAAAACCGGCATTGTTCTCTCCAACTAATTGGCGATACTTTTCACGTTGTACTGCCGTTTTAACAGCGTCTGATCCTGTTGCAACACCACCAGCCGCTATACATGCTTCCAGAAATGGACCATAATCACTGCGTCCGTTAAAAGCTCGGTAGTCCCATGGTAAGTTTTGCCCAATGAACCAGTCACGATATAACTCTGTAACTTTTATACTACCAGGAATTGCTTGTGGTGGCGTCTCACTCGGTGCTGTATTTGCATCATAAATCCCAAAAATGAAATTAGGTGAGCCAGCCATATCAAAGTTGAGATTAATCAAATAATCAGAACGACGTTCACCTGGCGTAGTTGTATTCTGAGCCTTTTGAAGATGATAACTCGAACCAGCCAAACCAATCTCTTCTGCAGCCCACCAACAGAAACGAACGCGATATTTGTATTTAGTATAGTTCGTTGTTCGATATAAACGTGCTAGATTTGCGGCCAAAACGAGATTAGCTGCTGTTCCACTACCTAAACAAAATGTAAGTAGCATAATCATGAATGTTTTCTCGAACTTCATTTATCAATCAAAAAGCAATTGCTCCTTTAAATATCAAAACGAAATTCTTACCATTGTCATTAATACCCGGTCCAGCTGGAACACTATCACTATGGCTTCCTACGACGATCGTTTTACTTATGTCTCCGTCCGTAGTATCGGCACAAATATTATCCACTGGAAAAGTTCCTAAGTTTTGCAATTGAATAGAAATTTTGACCATGACCGTAGTAAACAAACTAGCATCGGCAAGAGCTTGTCCAGCTGCATACGATAGATAAAGTGCAGGTAACTTGTTTGTTTCACGCAGACGTGCACTTATCGGAGCAAGATTGGCATTTGTTTCGCCATCATTATAGAAAAGTAAAGCCATGACGCCATTTTTTCCTGCAAGAATACCTTTCTCCGCGTATGTGCATTGACCTCCTGCTTTAACAAGTGCAACAAGACCTGTCGCATTTTGCCATTCATTTTTTGCACAGCCAAAATTCGGAATATTGATAACACGGACATAATCAGAAAAGTTAGTTGAAGTCGTATAGATGACATAAGTAAAATCGGATCTAGCAAGCTTTGATGAATAGGTGTAATTTTTTTCTGTACCATTGATTAATGACAGTAAGATTGGATCTGGTCCTATAGCAAAGTTTCGTATTTGAAATGTTTCTCTCATCACTTTCAAGACAGTGCCTTGATCGTTTAAATATTTCTCGATGTAGTTCACAGTTTCATTAAATCCTCGTGTGTTAATGGCTCGCGTGCCATTGGACTCATTAGCTATGCGTTGCAATTGCCGTAAATGAGTCATAAGATCTTCGATTTGAATGGTTTCAGCCAAAATTGAATTAAGATTAGGTTTGTTTGTTGTCGATGTCGAAACTATTGAATCGAATCGTTTATTAAGTGTACCAAGAGTGGCAGCAGCAAGGGCTAATGTGACTATTCCAAATAGACCAGTAACACATACTGCGATAAATATACGTTTGTTGGAACATTCGGTAACACTCATATTGAGTTGTGATCAAAAAACAGTGAAAAAAGTATACCTTATCAACAAATAAGTCTCTTTCAATAGTGTCATATTGAAGATCTATTGTTATTGACGGATAAGGTCATACATAAGTAAATACTGATAAGGGATTTAGTAGTATGCATTTTCTTTCGTGTAATCCAACTGACGACGAACAATAAAAAGTATTGTTTTTTGTCACTTTCAAATAAAATTATAAAAGAACACGATCGATAGCTGTTTTTTTTATATATGATGCATACACTAAGTCATACTATGTAAAACAAAATTGTGCAAAAGTATGCATTTCAGTATGCTTTTTTTTATCAGCTCGTATGCTTTTTTTATCAGCTCGTATGCTTTTACTAAGCTTAGAAGGAATTTGTTCAAACGTGTTGGAACACGCAATTTTTTTCAATAAAAATGCAAAAAAAAAATCGTTCAAGAACATATTCTATAAGATAAATTGTATGGGTATAAACACGCATTTTTTTTCTTTACAACAGTCTTATTATATTCACAACTAGAATAGATTGACTATATTTCGATTTTTCCGATACTCAGTACAATTAATCTTTTACGAACTCTTGACACTTTTTAGTAAGGAAGTTACTGGAAAACACGTAATAGAATGATATAGATATCATATAATCATGAATATGAAGAAACAAGTAGAAAAAGACTTTGACAAGGACGAAAACGAACAAATGACTTTTCCAGCCTCTTAAAATATGAATCGAAACAATCCATATAGTCATGATAGTGATCAGAGATTAGGTGATAATTGAATCAGATAATTCAATGATAATTTTGAAAGTAAAAGTCAGGTATATCTTCTTGTTAGTTTGCTGCAATTCGTCAGACTTTCATCTAGGAATATATGATATGACATTTTTAACTGAAAATGTAATACATTGCCATACAATATATTACTACCAAATAAATTTTTTATCAATGCTTGTTGTTTTTCTATTATGAATCTGAATTTTTCTCGGGTAAAACTTAACATTTATCAAATATATTTGTAGAATGTTGCTTATTTCTATGAGCATCATCTATCAGTTGGATAATTTTGAAGATTGTAAAGAAAACGAGTGAAATGGCTCGAAAGCAACTTTTTTATTTACAAGTAAAAAAGAAAGCAAAAATTTCTGTAAAAATAATAATTCAATCAAAAAACTGTAAATATCCATTTTGTTCTCGGTTTAAATTCATTATGACATTATTAGTTTGTCAATTAGAGAAAAGAGAAATAAATGAATTATTTCACAGGACACCAGTTTGATTGTTGAAGAAACAGAACACAGTGAAAGATATGAAAGAAAACACGAAAGAGGACAATAAAAATGAAAGACTTGTGTTATCAGTGTAACTCCTAAATTGTGTTTGGAGAGAACGAAACACCACACGTTAAATTGCATTGCTTGTCGTATGAGTAGGTTATAAAACAATAAATTCGAGCTTGTTTTGAGAATAAAGCAGCTAGTAATGAAAACATAGACGCTGAGCTTAAATTTGAGTAAAATATAGTGACAGTAATAAACAAACATCTACTTATGTTTCTCTTCTAAATGAATTTATTTTAATGATTTGAAAATATGATAAATGAATGTAATTCTCTAACTTTAGAGCCTTAGAAATTCTGCTAAGAACTTTAAAGAGTACTATATATCTAATTGTTGCATGGAAAAAAGTTAACAGTGTTCTTACTTTGGTATCATGTTATTGATCACTTTTCCAACTTGCTCTAGAGATCTCTTTAAGCAAGACAAACTCGTTTGATTTATTGGCATTTTTGTGTCCATTATACAACTATCTTTTGCTTTTCTAATATGCAAAGATTTTGTGCTGTATTATAGTCATATGTTCATTGCAAGAACAATCGTATTCAAGGGAAATGTGATTGAGTACTTGCATCATCATCTATCTTATGCTGCTTTCAATGACATGTGTTTATCTTCTTAAAAATGAAACATACGAATATATATCGATTTAGCCTGTATGATCTTAATTTTTAAGTACATGAAGATTTCTCAATTCAGAATGATCAATGAATCATATTTTTTCATCAAGCAATAAATTTCATGTTTCTATAATTTGTACGTATCCGTTTATCTTTTCACAAATATAATAAATTAAAAGCAAAAGAGAATATTAACTATCATCTGCTCATGTTTCATATGATTCGGCATATTTTTTCCTCAAGAAGTCCTATCGAAATAATCTGGTACTAATTACATAATTTAATTCTTCGTCTCATATATGTTCCCAAATTAGCTGTGTTGAAATGTCAAAACTGTTTTGCATTTTATTCTCAGCACTATTATTAAAATTACTATCATTTGCAAGACAAAAACACATCATGGATAAATAACTTTATCTTCGTCTATAATTGCTCGTGGTTATTGTCATTAGTGTTTTGATCTTCAATGGAAACAGGACCAATGAGGCTCCTTTTAAAGAAATTACTAAATGAAAACCGCGAAAACTGTGTCCATTTGATGCACTAGATAAATTTCCTGTTGGCTTAACCCACTATGATTGCTATTTCGGTTATTGTTAAGTTTCGTCGAACAATATCAGGCTTTACTATTCATACTGGAAATTTTGATGAAAAAGATTAACCCTTTTTCAATTCTTCTAAATTTCAAGATCTTTTTTTTGTCATCCTTAACTCTCTTTTTGTTCGTTCGACAAATAAAATTAGCTATATTAATAAACTATTTGAGTCAAATTGATAATATCGAAAGACTCTTTTATGAAAAAAAGTTACATTTAAATAAATTTCTCATAATTAAGATGGATTCCTTTTCATTCATTGTTTAATTCATTTCTACCTCAAGTCGCTGCTTTATTCGTAAATTTTATATTCATCGATAACTGTTGATCTGTTATGGAAAGGCAGCGAAGATACTTTGTTCAGAATAGTATCGATGCATCGGCAACATTCCAAAAATTATGCTTGTAGATTGAAAAATCAGATTGGAATAAATATTCTTTATCTCGATCGGAGATCAACGAAAGACAAGAATTGAAAAAATATGATTGATTCATTAAAGTAAAAATAACAGTAAATTGAAGAAGAAAGAGGAAAAGTAATCATATGTATCAATCATGAGAGAGGCCAAGATACGCATATATAAGGAATGATCAAACATGAACAGATCGATTACCAGACTGACAAAGAGAAAATGGGGAAAACAAAGATATTTCATTTCATTTCGAACAACACTTGTAAAAAAATTTTTTCATACGAAGAGAACTTTTTGAACGCACATGTTGAATATTCATCAACAATTTCAAATGTAGTAATACTTTTAACTTGAACAATTCACTTTCAGATTCTCATCATTCTATTTCTTCTGGCCGGTAACAAAATGTTATTTTGACATTGCCAAACATCTTGAATGCGTTCAGGAGTAAGTTTTAAAAGCGCTAAGACCTGAATAATCTATGATAATCAAGACCGTGCTTTCTCCATTTCTATTTCATGCATAATTTGATTGAAAATATACATAAAATCATCCATGTCAACATGAATGGGGGTGTAATAATTACCATGTCCTTTACAGATCCAGTAATGATGTTCCAAATGAAGACTCATTTCAGCATACATTTCAGGAAAAGTCATTCCAGTCGTATATCCAATCTCAACGACATGTGTTCCTGGCGATGACCATAGTATATTCATCATTCCAGCGCCATGAGGACCAATAATTATTCGAGCTCGACGAAATAAGGCAATATGATCACGAATATGTCCTTGAGCTTCGAAGATTTCGATATGAAGATCTGACCATAATTTAGATTTATTGAGTGATGATGCTATAAATGTAAACATATCTGAATGTTCAACAATTGATCGTGCATCTCCATCTTTTCTTTTTATTAGGATAATACTGTCTTTTTTCTCGGTCACTGTTAAGTCATCAGTGGCCATAGCTCGATGAACAAGTTGCATGTCTGTTCGATCATGAATGTAGTGCGCATTGTCTTTATCTCCTACATAGGGCCATGGTTCACTGCGATAAATAATATTTGCGAAGTGATTAGGACGAGTATCTTTATCAAATGGAACAATACGGTCACGTGTAACTATACCACGTTCAACAAGGACATCAATCAATGGATCAGCGACACCACCTTTTGAAACAAGAACTTTGGCTGTTGTTGGCACAGTAGCAAGCAAGCGTAGTAATCTTGGTAATTGCTGAGGTGCAAAATGTCCTGGTGCTTCAAAATAATTTCCAAGAGAGTCAATTAATTCAGTATGTCGATATTCACTCTTGATTTGTGGAATGCTAGAGATGGCGTCATTACTACATCGTTTATTGGTCCATTTTTGAAGATGAAAAGTGGCATGCTTAGTAAAAACTGTTCCAGGTACTTGTAAATGACAGTAACCTGTGTCGACAAATGCATTGAATACAGCTATAGTTACAAATCGTTTGGTTGCTGGGAGGAAATTATCAAGTTCTGACTGTGATTTACTGCATATAGCCCAGTCATGATCGATGTGAAGTGAAGAACATGTATCAGTCAAAGAGCGAGCACGAGGTAATGGGTGAGGAATCAAATTAGGAAGACGTGCAACATTGTCTACGATACATCCTTCATTAGGATGAGAACGAAAATAATCGAGAACATCATTCACAACTGTTGCTGATGCAGCCTTGCATGCTGATGACTGCGATGATCGAATCATTGATGCTTGGCAACGTCTAAATTCGCCATTCTTATGCCAAGTCCAATCGAATAAGTGACTAACATTAAATCGTTTGACCCAGTTTGGAATTTGCCACTGTTCAAACACTACTTCTTCAGACTTGGACAATTGTAACGGAATGAGCGGCATCATATAGGATGGATTGGGACAACTCGGTAAACGAACTTTGAAATACCAAGTTAACATGATCATTGTGAAAAATGCAACAACCAATTTTGTATTAATCTTTCGCAGCATTTGTCAACAGTTGTTTTCGATGATTTTTGATACTTTC